TCGGTTTTGTGCTGTGAATGCTGTTGATAAGGACCGCTTCCCCGTGTGAAGTTAGTGGAGATCAGATATGGCTGTCCATACATTGCACTCCTTTTGCACACAAAGATAGTGAAACTTCACAACATTTGGGGATATTTTAAGGAGGCAGCAATTGTAGGGGGAAAAAACCCAAAACATCATTCTGGGGAGAGTGGAAGGTCTGTGAAAGAGGAAGATTGTTAAGGAGATGGACTGGTATAGGGAGTGCTACTGAATTTTAGGATGGTGGAGACTGGAAGAAAGGCTAGGGTAGGATAAGATAGGGTTTTGATCTATTATTTTCAGAGTCCCTATGAGTCAGAGTCACCTCAGCAGTACCTAACAACAACAACAACAAAATGTGAGATCGAGATTAACTTGGAAGAAACAGAAGTAACTCAGGATACAGTCCTTTAATAGGGATAGCTTCCTATTGGCTGCTAACTCTGGGCTGTTATTGGAGCTGACCTGCTCCACCCAGATTCTGTGGGACAAGTGGCTCAATCTTATTGAGTAGATTTTATATACGAATTATGGCTAACATTGAGAAGTATGGGAATCCCAACACTTAATTGTGCTCATATAGAATCTATTGTCTGAACAGAGCAAGGGAACATCGCATGGTTTAAAATTCGGAAGAATATGCACCAGCATTGTATCTTTCCCCCGCATCTATTCAATATGTATGCTGAGCAAATAATTTGTGAGGTCAGATTCTATGAAAAAGAATGTGGCATCAGGATTGGGGGAAGACTCATGGACAGCCTGCATTATTCAGATGACTAAACTTTGCTTGCTGAAAGTGAAGAGGATATGAAATACTTGAGATCAAGGACTACAGCCTACAGAAGATCAAGGACTATAAACCTTGGTATGGATGATACTTTAACATCAAGAAAACAAAGGTCTTCACCACAGCCCAACAGTCAATATTATGATAGATGGAGAAATGATTGAAGCTGTCAATGAGGTCATCTTCCTTAGATCAATAATCAAGTACCAGAAGTTAGGAAATCAGGAGACCGTTTGCATTCAGCAAGTTCACTGTCAAGAACCTTTCAAAAATACTGAAAAGTAATGATGTAACTTTGAAGACCAAGGTGTGCCTGACTCAGGCCACCATCTTCTCACATACCTCCTATGCATCAGAGAGTTGGACAATGAATGAGCTTGACAGAAGAATTGATGCCTTTAAGTTATGGTGCTGGAGAAGAAGGCTGAGTATCCAAAAGAACTGTCAAAAGAACAAACAGGTGTGTCTTGGAGAAGGTGTAGCCAGAGTGTTCCTTGGAAGCAACGATAGTGAAGCTTCATCTTTCGTACTTTGGAAGTGTAGTTAGGGGATGCTATTCCTTGGAAAGGGGCATCATGCTTGAAAAGATGAAGGATCAGCAAAGGAGAAGACACCTAATGAGATGGATTGACACAGTAAGTTCAGTAATATGTCACATGAGGATGGCACAGGACAGGGCAGAGTTCAAGTCCACTGTTCATAAAGTTGCTATGTGTCAATACATTTGCATAGTAATGACCTTTCTGGGATAAACCAGCCAATCACTTTAAAAGTGGCTTCCTGTATTTATATAAGTACTAACATTTTCTTCTAACAGAGACTAGTTTCTTGCCAAAAGGCATTTTTTCCAAAGTTTTAGTTGTTGTGTACCACTGAATAGGAACCAAACCATAGCTGACCCTTAGTGGGTTTTCAGAGGTAGTAAATAGCACAAGAGGAGATTGCCCATCTTTCTTCCTCAGAGAAGCTGGAGGATAAGAACCACATAGCTTTTCATTGTCAACACAGGACAATTATATTTTTTTCTCCAGGGTGCAGGAGGAAAAATCTCCCAAACATTTTTCTTTTTGTCCTCTCTTTCCCACAAAACAAAACCCAAAGCTCACATAAAGAAATTAATTTCATTATAACAATTAAATATTACAATTAATTATTGCAACAACGAAATAATTTTTTTTCAAAGAGAAAAATTAACTGGGAGGTGGGTAGGCAGGGAGGAAAATGTACAGCAATGAATGAATGGAAATCCAAGTTCTCTATAAGCTTTCATTAAAATA